ACATAAATAGAAAAAAACAATCCTGCAATTTGTATGAGACCTCAAAAGACGGAGGTATCACACGTCCTAATTTCAAACTATATTATAAAGCTATTATAATCAGAACAGCCTGGTTTTGGTATGAACACAGGCACATATATCAGTGGAACAGCACTGAGACACCAGAAATAAACGCATGCATATATGGTCAGTTAATTTTGAACAGAGGAGCCAACAATACATAATGGGGAAAAGATAAGTCTCTTCAACAAATGCTGTTGGGAACAATGGACAGCCATATTTAAAAGAATAAAACTGGACTGCTATCTTTCACCATCAACAAAAACCAACTCAAAATGGATTACGGACCTGAAACCATAAAACTCATAGAAGATCCCTGGCCAGTTTGGCTCAGTGGTTAGAGCATTGGCCTGAGGACCAAAGGGTCACAGGTTCGATTCCCGTTCAAGGGCATGTACCTCAGTTGCAGGTTTGGGTGCATGCAGGGGGCAACCAATCAATGTCTCTCTCTCACACTGATGTTTCTCTCTCCCTGCCTCGCCTCCCTCACTTTCACTCTCTCTGGAAATCAATGGAGAAAATGTCCTTGAGTGAGAATTTTAAAAAAACCACAAAATTCATAGAAGAAAACACAGGGTAAGTTCCCTGACATTGAAGGACATTATGTTAAATGAAATAAGCCAGACCAAAGGACAAGTCAAACACAGCCTGATATGACTCACATATGGAATATTTTTAAAAAGTCAAACTCATAAAAAGCTCATGTGTCTATCTGAATAACACTATTGCTTCTTTATTGCTATATAGTCTCTCATTTTTTTTTTTTTTACCTCACTCACTCCTTCACAAATTTAACAAACATTAATGAAATTCTTACTTTCTGACATTACAGCATAAAACAAGACAATAGGAAAAATTGTCTCTGTCAAACAGGAGCTCATTATATTTTGGAAAAAGGAGGCAGACCACACAACAGAAAATGAATCGAAATTGCAAAGTGTATTACTGATAAGGAAAGAAATACAACATTGAAGAGTCTGACGTGGGAAGACAAAGAAAGGGGCACACACTGCATCTGCTATTCACACGAAGGCATGCGGACCAGTCCCGGGACACTGCAGATCTCAGTGTCAATCAACAGGGGTCTCATCCCAAATTCACCACTTTATCCTTTATCCAATCAGACGCTCACTACACACCAGCATGGTTTTCACCAAGAGAATAGGCGTGGGTGGGAATGTCGTAGAATCTTATGAATGCAGATAACCATGAATCACTTTTTTTACGGGGCTTTGGTTGAACTTATCACTACTCCAAATTGAACCAGCAGCAGTATTTTTCTAAAGGTAATAAAGTACAAAGAAATCTTAACCTAAGTCAGAACAACCGATTAAATACAAGGAAGGGAAGCAAGGAGGCGGCGCATCTGCTACTCACCTAATATTTCAGTGTCCTAGAAATCAACCCTCTGGCACCTTGGAAAGCTCCCTGCTGACAAGGCGTTTTTTAACCTCTCGTGAAATTGAGCATTCTCACGATTCTAGACTTTCCGAACCTAAGAGTAAGGGGAAAGGCTCAAGTACAATTCCATCTTCTTTTCCAATTCTTTTCCAATTGTCTCTCTGGGTCTCTTTGTGAAACCTGTTTACTCCCCCATCTATCACTCGTCAGTAGACTTGTCTTCCTTGAGCATCAGTACTAAGCAAGCGAACTGGTTCACATAGATGAAAGTAACTATGATCCTTTTGGGAAACTCCCATCATACTTAACATGGCAGAATGGCCTACAGATACACAAGGGAAGAATTTTTAAAAGTTGGGAAGTTTAAAGATAGCGGTATAAGTACGCTATTGTGGGGGCACTGCAGGGTCTTGAAGTTACCCATACAGACTGTGCCGTATTGTTCCTTCTCATGGTTGAAAGCCATTAGCAAGTGACTATCTTTTGCAAATTAATGCCTTACACATCAATCTATCATCTCAACTCTTCTCTTATGAGGTAAATCTAAAAATAAAGGAGTGCATACTACAGAGAAAGTATTTTCTAGGGAGAGAATGAACATAAAAAGAGTATAATATAAAACTATGTTGATTCTATCCAGCGGAACGTGTCTGGCATCATAAAGCATCCTCTCTGGAGGGACATCACTGGTACAGGCTGTGCAGACAGGAAGAAAACTAGGTTGAATTGTACCCACTCCACAACGACCAACGGGCATTCATAACTCCACAGGTGATTTTCACCATAAAGTCTAACGCAGCTGACAGTCCTTTCCCCAATACCACAATCTATATTTGCACATTCCAACACAGCGAAGTCTACAGAACCTACGATTTCATCAGTCGTGGCCACGTGTCTCTGGAAACTTTTACCAACCTTGCCCTTTAAGTGACTGGCGAATTCACTGACATCTCACTCGTTCGCACACACTAAACAAGCAGTGTAGTCGATGTGGTAATGAAATGGTGTATCAGCTACACACTAGGCTCTGGAGGGTAATGGGACGTGAAATATGAATAGGAAAATATCCCTGTCAAAGGAGCTCATTATTTCTAGTCTATTAAAAAGATACAAAAATAAAACAAAACTTGGCCAGTGAAACGTTAGAGACATAAAGCATGTTATCAACGAAATGGTGATGGCGCCCCATTTAATATACAGATGATATATCCTAGAATTGCACACTTGAAACCTATATAATGTTATCCTCCAATGTCACCCAAATAAATTTCATATAAATAAATATAAATGGTGGCAATTTCGACAGGTTGGACAATTTCTAGACTTGTTTCTAAACCATTAGTTAGAGTATGACAATGCACCTTAAATTAATTTCTGGACATATTCCAGAACCAATTGGGAAACATCAGCCTTCTTGTCATCTCCTTGACTTTAGGGATGTTACTAACATTTAACATGCTCCAGAACTAGTATCTAACAAGGAGGGTCAGCACACCTTGGCCTGGCCCTCTTTCCTTCCAAACTCCACCTTCTGCACAATCATCTCCGTTCACACCGCCCCTCCCCTCAATTCCCAGCACCACCCTGCCTCCACTCCACTGCCACGTGTTCACGACTAGGTTGCTGCTCTCTCTTTCACACGGCTCCTTACCCATTCTGTCCTTCAACGGTCTGTGCTCAACATCTCTGAAAAGCCAAGATCTCTGGAACTACTGCGCACCCTTGCCTCCATAAGGCACTCTACCAAAGCCAATGAACGCAGGAGGCAGGTAGACACAATGCAAGTGGGAACTCAAAGGGGAAATTTGCACAGAGGTTNTTCTACCAAGGCCAATGAATGCAGGAGGCAGGTAGACACAATGCAAGTGGGAACTCAAAGGGGAAATTTGCACAGAGGTTATTAGGATCCTTTTCTGGGTCCCAAATAAGGGGAGACCTTGCTGTAAAGAACATTACTAGGACAACCGGTAAAATCTGACTATAGACCACATATCAATGTAATTTACTTCTACTATTCATAAGTATAATTTGGAAAGCTCCACTGGGGTTAATAAAAGAGGGCTCCAAGGCTCTTACAAAGTGAATGCTAAAGAGGCACCATATCTGCAACTTACAAATAATTTGTGAGATAAGAACAAATGAGGGGAGAGGGAGGAAGGGAGCGAGAGAGAAAGAGAACACAGCACCGCAGAAAACCAGACTGAGGGGACGCGTATCCAGGGGTTCTCTGTATGATTCTTGAAACTCTAAATCTACATTGCCAAAACATGACATCAAAGCAGTAAACACTGCTACAAGGTATACTCAGGAAGTTTACGAACCTCCAAGCAGCATCGTATTTTGAAAAGGTCAATGGACTCTACCTCCGGCAACCTGGATGACCCTTGATTGGAGGAAAGGTGGACTATTGTTTTTTGTTAATAAATCATCTATCACTATTTGATCTCTTTTATCCATGGCCAATTACTGTTTAAATTAGATTAAATATTTTCACCTATTAGATTGGCTAAAAACATAACGGATTGGTAATACCCATCACATACAAGTCCTCATGAAAATCAGCACTGCCATTGCACCATCACTGTGTGCTGGCCTGGAACACATCTCAAGGGAAATTTCACAGTATCTACTGAAATCAAAAGCATGCAGAACTAATGACCCAAAAAGGCCACATCTAGAAATCTGTTTTAGAGAAATAGGAGCGCAGACGCATTAACATAGATATATAATTATATACATTACAACATTATATGCAGCAGCAAAAACAAACAGTTAACCTACATTTTCCAAATAGAGAAACGGATGAACCCATTATGATGTGCACTTTACTTCCAATAAAGTCTGTAGGGAAGCTATAGTCATTGGCTTGAGAATATGTCCACAATATATTAGCAACAAAGATGCAAAACATATACCTTAATGACAGCATATTTGTAAAATAAACCCAACATAAACTTTTATAAGCTGAGAAGTTAATGACCACTATACCACAAATGGTTAATTGTCACCCCCCCAGGAATCAGAAACAGCATGGGGGACGAATGACCAGGCTGCTCTAAACTGTGTAATGATCCACTGATTCCTAGTGGCCCTGTTTTAATGTACCAGGTGTCAAGCTGGTCTCCTGAGACAGGCTGGGCAATGCAGTTAGTAGTTCCCTTGGGACAGGGCAGATTATGTTCCAGAAATACAATTAAAAGTGACAATAGCCTGGCCGGTGTGGCTCAGCAGTGGAGCAGCGACCTAGGACCAAGGAGATCGCGGTTCGATTCCTGGTCAGGCCACATGCCCGGGTTTCGGGGCGTGCAGGAGGCAACCGATCAATGACTCTCATCATTGATGTTTCTCTCTCTCCCTCTCTCTGAAAGGAATAAAGATATATATTAAAAAAAAAAACAACCACCACCTGACAATAAACTCAACCATCTACATTAAACCTGCACAGGTTAAGTGGACAACCAATGAAAAATCAGGGCCATGGAGGTGACTGTGAAATCTCTTTGGNAGGTTAACTGGACAACCAATGAAAAATCAGGGCCATGGAGGTGACTGTGAAATCTCTTTGGTGCCTGGTGCTGTTTACTCCAATCCCAAAGAAGAAAATTCCAGTGATGTCAAGAAAATGATAACATCACCATGGCTCAAGTGTCAGTACAGGACTCTGACTCTCCCTTACACTATCCAAGGGATGGTAGCAGTCAAGTCTAATGATGGGCCATTGGGAAAGAGGTCAATTGAAAATTCAAATCTAAAATGAAAGCTACCAGGTTCAATAAACAGGGAAACTTCCAATCGTTTATTGCAGGAATGCACGTTTCAGAAACCTCTAAAAACTGGGCTCGTGAGTCAAATGAGAAACAAAGTCTCCCATAAATAGTACCAAAATGGCCCATGGGAAACACCTAGCCTGTGAGAAAGCCTGGCTATTATGTGGGGCGTCACCCAGGTGTCCATCGGTCGCATCATTACATTTACCATGCCCATCTCTCAATCCCATATGTAATTTAAAACATGGGTCTTTAAAAATGCAGTGGGGTAGTTAAAATAGAAGAAAGCACACGATATATTCAGAGCACAGTGAAGTACGTAACATTCCAGGCAATTACTTGCCAGAAAGCAGGTCAGTTCTATTCCTGAAGACACGTATAAAAAAGTTGTGCCCCTGGAGAAACAAAGCTGCAGGAAGCTTCTCAGGGGGAAATAATGACAGAATCTGGGTGATGCTGGGGATGGAACCACTCCAGAAGGAATCTATGATCCTGTTGTCCACATGTCCACCACCTGGGGGAGTACAGAGGGAGATATTGCGAATGAAGACAAACAGGTTGATGCACAGCCAGACAAGTCCAGGACGTTACTGCTAGTCCACTGAAAACAACGCCCAGGAGCCTGATAAAAGTATCTCCAAGCTACAAAAACTAAGTAAGCTTCACCGGGCAAAAATGACAAAAGCCATGATTTTCCTTGCTCGGCCCTTTTACTTTGACTTGAATACCCATCTTCCACTCCTAATAATATTCATGTCGTTCAAAAACAAACGCATTGTTTACACTGCCATTTCCTGTATATCCCAGGTTTAAGTTTAAAAATAAACTAAAATGGCGATAGCACAAGGAAATATTAATAATGTGCTCTAAATTTTCTAGCAATTTATGGAAATCCTTCCAAAACCCAAACCCCATTAGGACGATACCGACGACGTATCTCTTCTGCCTGCTTTCCTGAACGACTCTTGTGCAATTTCTGATGAGCCTAACTAGAAAAAAAAATTCTTGTATTTCGACTTGTGATTTTATTATGTCATGTTGACTAACAAGAGACAACTCTAAAATCCTGAGTTAAACTATTACCTCGCCCGGCCAGCATGGCTCAGCGGCTGAGAATCTACTTTACGATCCAGGAGATCGAGGTTTGATTCCCGGCCAGGCCACACGCCTGGGGTGCAGGTCCCTCCATCCCCAGCAGGGGGCGTGCAGGAGGCAGCCGATCAATGACTCATCATTGATGGTTCTCTCTCTCCCCCTCTCCCTTCCTCTCTCTGAAATCAATAAAGACACTTTAAGAAACCCTATAACCTCAACATAATCACAAAGGCTACGTAATAGGTTTAATGAAAACATAAATTAGTGTCAAATAACTCAGACAAGAATGTAATCCATCATCAAGACAGCCAAGATGGTATCTCAAAATCAGAATGTAAGTCTTAATGCTCTTACCTGCAGTCAAATTCTCTTTGGTCCTTGCTTAGGGAAGATGCTTGTGAGACAAACAAGAAAAAAGGAATGCTTGAAACATTTCAACAACCTTCATGCACTCATCAAATGAAAGGGTGTTAAGAACTGACCCCCATCAAGGTCATATTGAAACATCCCCCAACATCTGTCTACCCACTAATAGTAGCAATACCCTAGCATACACATCTGGAAATAAAATTCAATTTCCTTATATTATGAAGGCCCATACTATTTACATCAAATTATACTTCCTAATTTATTTACTTACTGATGTCTTTTTATATCCCTTTTACCCCACCTGCCTGACATCCTTCCTTCTCTCTCAACACCGATCCACCATCAATGGATTTATTCCAAAACATTTAGTATTTAAATGAATTTAAAATTGGTTGTAGAGAGGTTATAGTCTCCATTTAGATAATATCACATTCTATGGTGGGGAGGTAAGCATACACCACCAGAATTTATATAACCTATCTATCAATACTACATCAGAGTCTCTTTCTATACCTCCCATGGTACCTAATTGGCAGTCACTCTACAAATTGACAATTTTACGTTTAATGGGATTCATAGATGGTTTTCTATTTTTAAATATTACAAACACATCTGGATTCCACATCAAACTGGTCAACAAATAAACAGTACACCAGTGCGATAGATTCTTACCGGCATTTTTGAAGATCAAGTCCACAGAAATGATATAACAAGAACTAGAATTTGGATTGATCTAGAAATGTCAGCATCTAAGATGTCTCACTTCTTACACTGGGAACACCTGTTATAACTGTGGAAAATATGGGAAAATGTGATATATTACATGAACACAAAACACAAGGTCAAGTTCGCTCTTTGATCAATCTCCTAAGAGCCCCCAAATTAAGATATTTAAAAATCAATGTAAGAGAACACTGCTCTATTTATATTATTTTGATTACCCAACCGCTAAACTTCCTTCATTTAATAAATTAGCCTGTATCACTCTATAGTCCACTCATCTTTTCATTCATCTTCACATGTGACTTTATGATTGTATTTTCCCCAATGATGAAATTCCTGTACTATTCGTTAATTCTGTGCATCAAACCACCTGTCACAGCACCTAAAAACCATCAACGGTGCTCTCTCGCGCGTGTATTTCGTGTATCTATGCAGGGACCCCTATATTAATCCATCCAACGCAACACATAAATCGTCATCTGGACAATCCTCATGCATCCAACATCCCCGTCTCCAATCCACTCTTTAGCCACCTGTCCTTTCATTTAATACTGACCCTCAATCCACTGCTTTTCAAAATACCTTCCTTCTCCTTGCACCCTGCACTTACATCCCAGTCTCATCCACTCTTTTCCATCCTCAGAATTTTCATCCATTCATCAGGCATCGCTCCCTCAGCTCCATAAAGCAAGATCCATGCACCCATTTTCGAGCCTTTTCAAAAGACTGACTTAAGTATCCTCTAAAACATTTTTCTAGCCTGGCCACCGCGCTCACTTCAGCGCTGGCATCTGACTAAAATTAGACTCCTGGGTACCTCCACTTTAAGTTGCAATATGGAAAAAGTCTTTCAAGAGCTACCTTAAATTATTGAGGGGAAACCAAAGCACAGAGGAGCTCAGGATTAATTTTGGGAATTGCCCAAGGCCCGTGAGAAACAGCTTCTCCATTCACTACTCCCAGTAACGAAAAAAGGGCACCTTTATCGCCAGGCAACTTTTCCGGAGTCCCTGTTCTTTACTCCAAATGCTGACAAAATTACCAGTACCTTGAACACCTAACTACAAAACTATTTATTCCTTCCCTTTATTTCTAACTTATTCCGTAGCAAACACACGTTCATTCCACAACCAATTCCTGACCTAACGTCCAACCTGACAAAACTGGCTAGTGCCCGGTTTCGGCCACCGATGACCTCACGAGGCTTCAGTTACCCTAATTAAAAACACGGTAAATGCCATTTGGCCACCTTCGCTCCCTATATCCCAGTCGATCCTATTTCCATTCATAACTCGTCATTTCCTAGATATGTACAAATAAATACTCGTCAGTCCTCTATAGGGTTGCATTTCACAGGATGCTCTGGATTTGGTTCAGGTTAATAGACTGGATACTGCACCCCTATCCAGGGAAGTCTTACATTTTACACTGCGACCATCATTTTGCTCGATCCCATCAAACATCTGGAATCACTGCTGATCTGGGAACCAAGTTCATCGTATCCTGGCTATATATTAAATTGATTTACTTTAAATTACTCCCGCCCTATACAAAAGAAATGAACCAAGTTTTACCTTTCGCCATATGTGTTTACCCCAGGAACGGAAATTACCTGACTGGACTATTTTCTCATGCAATTGTGAACTTCCAGGCTCCCTACAGTATTGTTACGTTTTAGCCTTTAGCATCTGGAAGGGAGAGCCAACTCCTGCACACAGGGTCCTACGTCCTACCCGAATAACCGCTGCCAGTATTGCAGGAAATACCGCCGGTGCGACCACAGCCAGAAAAAGGCACTGCCGGGAGCCAGCCAGGCAGGCCCGCATCTTAGCTATCTGCATAGAACACCTCACGCAATACTGAGGAACGTTTTTCTTTTGGCCCTGACTTTACTGATGAAAAAAGCTAAGGAGTAAATCTAGTAAACAGAGCAGCCACATCATTAGGAACTCAATGTTGACTATCATTCATACTGTGTATTCACAAAGATCGGGAAATAGAACGTTCTTGATTTCAAACTTCAAAATAAATATGAAAAACATTCGCAACTTGCTCCAACGCTAAATATGCAATTAAGACTTTTTAAAGATAGAAGCTAAATTGCACAATTAAAGGCATCTTTCTAAAATGATTCACGGTAACCAGTGAAAATATAAAAAACCTTTTAAAAGGGAAAGTAAACGTAACTTAAGAAGTACACAAGAGGTAAATGAAAACCAATTGTATGGTGCATGTATACATAAAAATGGAATTAAAGTTTACAAAGGCTAAGTAAAAGCACATCTAAAAGCTGTGCAAGTGGACTTCATCATCTTGTCCTGTGCTTTCATAACTGCAATACTAGTGTTACATTAGCAACACACCCAAGTTTTTCTATATTTAGGCTAGAGTATGACTTTGTATTAACCACCTTTGGAAACCTGGAGACACCAGTTTCATTATTCTGTAACTGATAACACTAAAGAAATGTCCACCCTACATAGTTTAGATTGAAAATTTGATAAAGTTCTTACTTAAATGTAGACATTGCTATTCATTATGAACAATTTTATTTGTACTCATAGCAAATACGCAAGTAATGAAATAAGATGCCACTTTTCTATGAAAATTTTAAATGAAAGCGGAACGATTCTATAGTTGACACAAACATGTAATAATGACTTATACGCAGCTATGACATGCAACTGGAAACATTCCTATGATGACTAAAGATTAAATAAAACCAGTCTAGTAAGACATCTACCACAAATTGAGGAAATTATTAAACATGACCATCTACCAAGTCAAGAAGGTAGAAATGTAATTTTTAACAGGGCAAAGACTGATTTTCTCGAAAAGAAAGTTGCAAAAGCCAAGGACATTTGAATCAAAGAACCATAAATTTACAAACTAATTGGAATACATTGCATGATTCTTCAAGCACCGATTTAAACATCAGATTATTTTCTATTTTTCAGCAAGTCTGAATTATGTTTGAGACTGGTGTCCCTAATTCTTGCTTTATCCCACAATATACAAAACTAGATCTTGTCCTATCTTGGATCGAAGATGGGTCAATTAATAATAAGTGGCATGATCAGACTCCATCACACCCATGAGAAACTAATATCATAAAACATGAAGATCAATTTAGTAAGACTAATAGTGACAGCAAGTTAAGAGAGGGCAAGTCTACAGTTGAACCCTGGTAAGAATTACTTTCAGGGCTGACATGAGCTATACTTGTTATGACCCACAAAGGGATTTATGTACTCAGTAAATGTCTAAATGTGTATGTGTATGTATAAGAAGTGAGACACATAACAATAAAGCAGAGAAAGTGTCCTGCATTTTGAGAATGAAAAATTTAATGTAGAGGGGAAAAAATTTAAAAAGTGCATGGTTCCAAATTTAACATATTTGTTCAATTTGTACATTAAAATATTTATAGGATTCTTGCTAATATTGAGGTGGTAGTTATTTTTAAATATCACCTGTACACAAGTTTAGTCTTGAAACAATGGTAATTGTATGTTGGCAAAGATCCAGACAATTTTTCTAGCTGCTAGTTATATGAAGGCTTGATTTTGTCTTGATGCACGTGTGTGAAACTACAGTTCCTCAAATGTTAACCTATGTAAAGTTAACATGGGAGTTATGACTCCCAGCCATTTTACCCCTATGTACATAACCAACGGGTATGAAAACGGACAGTTGCTTAACGGTGTTCACAACAGCATTACTCAATGTGGACAGACACAGAAGTGAAACCAGCCAAGTGCTCAATAGATAAAATATGGCACATGAACACAATGGATTCTTCAGCCCTAAAGGAAACCAGGTATCTTAGAGGAAATGGAAACTTAAGCAAGATTAAGAACAAAAATAAATGGACAATATGGGGCCATAAGGTTCAGGAAAGTAAGCAAGCAAGGACAGAGGCACGTTGAAAATATGAGGCCAACGTAGTAAGACTTGAATGACTAAATGTGGAACAATTTCAGAAAAAGTAATGAATTTTACCCATAGAATCAAGAAAATACCCTTGAGACCACGTATTAAAAACTCGAAAACTAAATGGGGGAGAAGGGGTGACTTGTAGTCATGGTACACAATTCAAATTTCAACTAAATGTAGGAAATGAAATATTTTCAAAATCACAATTGGGCAAACAGCAGGGTATTATTTCAATAAACAGCAATACATGCTCAGGTAAGCAGATTAAAGCATATAAACATTTCTGCAGTAGTCTTGCCAAAAACGCATGACCTGAATCTCAATGTCAGGAAACTAGATGAAGCCACACTGCTGTGTCATTTAATGGTTAGATCTGAGATTGTCAGAAGTGTCCAACCATGAAAACCAAAGGAAACTGGGCATCTGTCACAAATGAGCAGATTACAAAGATGGTAACAACTATATGCAATGTTTCCTCCAAATTTAAATTCTGTGCCTATAAAAGGAGTGGTCAAACATCTCCTGGTGTAGTAAGTGTATCATGGGTTTAACATGAGAGGAAGAATGGAGAATATATCTTTAAGAAAATATACCGATTTGCAAAATTTTGGTAAGCTGAACATAATTTCAAAATAAAAAGTAAGTGCTATTCAAAGCTGTACCCAAAATACTGTTTCAGTAGGGCCAGTAAACCAAGTCAAATACCCTGACCAAAAATTTATCAAACTAGTTTAGAATTCTCTTTTCAGAAATTGCAAATAAAATTGTATAACAATAATTTTATTGACTGGATGCAGGCAGTGTAATCTTCTTTATGATGTTAATTTAACCTAATCAGTAATTGTAATGGCAAATATAACAAATTGTAACACAAAAGACATTTTATTAAACATGCCAGAAAATTTGGTTGAAATCTACAATTAAAGTTTCCTAAAATAAATCATAAGTAAAATACACTAAACAAGGTTAATATGAACAAATAACAAAGGGCACTTGTTAATCCCATGTATTATGAAAATACTTAACTATTTTAAAAATAAAACCATAATTTTTGGAATTTCAATGAAATACCTGGCAATGAGTAATGAAAAAGCCTACAGTAGCAGTACCCCAACATAACAATTTGATTAAAATTGAATGACATACCTGTAGTTGTATAAGAAGACTCACATTTAAAGAGATTTATTGTCTCCTAGTTTAATCTAATAAATTTGGTGCAAATGAAATAAAATTGCATTTTTTCCAACTTGCAAAATAATTTTAAGCATCAATTGAGAGAAAAAGTGCGAGTATAGACAGGGGATGTTCTGAAAAAGAAGAGAAATGAGATAGGACTCAATAGACTAGGTAAGACAAGGATCAGTAATTTTAAAGTATCAAAGAAGGTAAGAAACACCGGAAGTCAGCCAGTTAAATGTGCAGGTTTCTATATGAAAGAGCAAAACCTTAAACAAGTGGTTAAAGGCTTAGGTCAAGGTGACTCATTTGATTATGTAATGCTTTAAAACTGTAGCAATGATGCATGTAAAAAGAAAATGACAATTGACAAAAAGTAGGAGGAAATACAGACAAATGTATGGGATTATTATAAACATGTTTTTAAAGAAAAACACAAACACAAAAGGCATAAAACAGAACATGATTATATTTAATACACAACTTCGGTACAACCAAAAAGTAAAACAGCACAGTAAATAATAACAGAAAACATGGTATTTCATTTGCAATGCATGAGAAACGGTTAACATCTTTAGCCATAAACAAGCTTAGAAACCAGTAACAGAGACACTATATTCCAAGGAAACTGGAAAAAAAAGTGAAATACAAATGGTAATTAAGGATTAAGCATATAGGATGACTGCACTGAAGTGAGGCTACTTTTTCTCTGCAATACCACATGGGCACCTCATCTTTCAGTTTAGAACAGTTTTGCATTTTGAACTCTCATAACCAAAGCTGGGAGACAGACTGATGACAAGTGTCTACAGTTTGGGTGAAAGCTAGTTTTCAATCAAAATATAAAGTTTGAGTATCCTTAGCCCTAAAGCCCTAGCAATCCCAATTAATTTAAATTATTTCAACAAATTAGTGAAATTTGAAATGAGTTATGTAAAACCATGTTTATTGCAGAGAAAATCCATAGACAGTATAGGCGTCCTAAAACACTACTTGCCTATCGATTTATCAACACAATCCAAACGGATGTGCACAAAACTCGTAGTAGATAATAGCGTAGTGAGTCCAGTCAAAACTGTGATGACTATATATGGGGCAGGTGTGTACCGGAAATATGGAGGGAATAAGTACTTTGTAAAGTATAGGATTGTCTAATCACTATGCGGTACACCTGAAACTAATACAAAATAATATTGAACATAAATGGTAATTGAAAAAATAAAAGGAGACAGTACAACATGGGGAGTGGGTAAAAATAAAGGAAAACATAGGTACATAAAGTATTAACTAGTTAACAAATTTCTATGTCTAATATCTAAAAAAAAAACGATTATTTTTAATGAATACATTTTAAATCTACCCTATAAAATAAGTAAAATGAGAACTATAAGCACTTAGTACTAATCACGGGAGCCCTGGAGAAAGGCCTCGCATTGGCATGTCCTAGGCTTCTTGGTATTATAGTCTCCAGCATTCCATCTCCTGGGTTCAGTCCAACAGCAACAATGAAAACAGTCAACATGCCTGCTTACAATTGTCTCCAGGTCGCCCTTCAGGTCACCTTCAAGAATGAGCTTTCTCAGCCCTGTTGCAGATCTGCAGTGTCCATTGCAAAACACAAAAGAGGAGTCTCCAGCCCTTGATGAAGACTTTCGGTTTTTAGGATGGTGGCAGAAGCAATGGCATGAGTTCCTGTTCAGTCATCACCTGAGAGGACACGGTGGGAAAATGAGTGAGACCATGTCAGATGCATACTTCACAAGACCATCAGTATGGGCAATACGATTTTGTGCAATGAAAACTACCATGTGAATCAGAGTTAGATGAAAGAGATTGGGATTCGAGAAGAAATAGCTGGTTCCATAATTGGAATCATGAAGTAACAATAGTAATGTTTTAGGATTATTTGCTAGTCAGCAATAACCTGAACAGATCCGCAAACCCACCAGCTGCCAAAATTCATTAAGCTTAACAATGTCGGAATGCCAACTACTGCCCAAACAACTGCCCCTCGCTGAATCAATGAGCAATCAACTGTCTTACAATCATGTCGCCAAGAGGCACTCCTAGACCAGAGATGGAAGGGAAGCACACTTGAGTGAGGAATACTTCAAGTTGGTGGTACCATGTCTTGGGAGAACTGTTCTCTCCTGACAGGGAAAGAGAAACACTGTAAGGAAAGGTATGCCTCAAACTGATAGAGAACAGCTGAAGCAGCGGGTAAGCTGAGGTTCAGGCTGAATGTATTACAAGTTTCTGTTAACATTTAGACACAAGACCTGACCCCTCTCTTCAATAACTGCTTTACCACAAGATTATACTTGCAAAAACACAATTCAGCTATTTTATAATATCCAATTATTGGTGGATCATTTACTTTATACATTAGTTACATCACCAGGTTGGGTTGCACAGCAATTAATTGAAAAACAGGAAGTCTCCTACATTCTACACACGTTCTTACTATTTTCGCTGGAAAAATTACCTTTTTTATTAATTCACTAATTCTCAGGCACGGTTGAAAATCCCAACCTGCCTAAGAACAATGTGAGCAGCAGCTCTTTTCCTGAGCCTGGCTACAGCCTCCTGGCTCAAACAGCACTTCCTGATCCAGAACCTTCTTACCTGTGGATCAGTTGAGCCTCGTGGACTAGAACTCCACAGAAAGAGGAATGTCCCTGCTGCTGGCTGTCCTCACAGTATCTGCAAATACATTTTGCTTTCATCATGTTTCCCTGGGAAGCACACAGTATAGTCAATTAGATACCAATGAGATACCCGTACAGATTCGAATAAACTTACCATGGTTAGGGATAGCGAGTGGGGATAATTTAACACCAGCAAATATGACTGGCCAAAGACTTAACTATTGAAACATTTTTGTGCTAATTCTGAATAATCTAAATTTGAAATCCTTTTCAAAAAGAAAGAATCCATCCCCGATTTCCCTCATTGAGAGGAACTCAGAACATATCCCAAGAGACCTGGGCAGTAAATACATATACGGCACTGCCTTGTGTAAATGACCGTTAGAAAGTTTCAATGGCCATTCTCACCACGTGTGATCATGGCCCCCAAAGGAACTGCTTGGCACGTACCTCTGATCCGTCTTCTCCCTTCTCTTCTCCTCCTGTATGTCCTCCGATTATCGATTCTCACCACACAGTACAGCTCTGTGCTGTCTTAGTCTCTCTGTCACTTGCTCTTCTCAATATCTCAAAAATCATTCATCACGGCCAGCTCAATTCCAAGGCCATATGCACCTGCCCGCCCAATGTGCCCAAGGCGTTGACAGGCAAGATTGAACGACAGGCACAAACTTTAAAATTCCTTGTTCTTCTAAAATGTTCCTTTTGAAATACCTTTAAATTTTTGAATTCACAAAGTAAAAGCAGTTCTTCTATCCCCATCTCTCTGTACATTATACGTTTGCCGTAGTCTTCTGGGCAACTTTCTCTTCCATAATTCACAGTCATTTTAGATTGTCATGTAGCAATATACAAATATATGGAGATAAACAATGCCTTACTGTTATAACTAGCACTTGTACAAATATTTCAAAAAGAACTCCAAACCACCACCATTATAGTAACACTGATTTAAGAATCACTGCTTAATTCTTTAGTCATGACAGGACAATCCCAATCCCCATGAGCATTTCAGGTAGGTTGACACCTTTGTAAACAGACACTTGTTGATCTTTGTTCAAAAACGACACTTTTAAATACCAATTAAAAGCACACTTCCACATTAATTTTTATCGGTGTGCTTAAATTATATTCAATTAAGCTATATAATCATTACACCCTCTTATTGATGTGTTTCAATTGTTCAATATTACCCTCAATTTATAACACTTTCTTCTTTGTAAACAATTTGAGATTTGGAATAGATACAATCCCAGCTTTAACTCACATCATTTCAAAGTTTTACACATTAAATTTTGATTGTCATTGCCAAACTGCTGTTCAAAAAGATATGAGTTATACTTTGATCAACACTGGATAGGACCACCTTTCTAAGGAAGTTTCATAATGTACATTATAGGCAAGTAAGATACAATACTTCTGACATTTATCACATAACATTCAAATACAACAATTCACCAGAAGAATTTAAAAAGGTCTAAGAATTAAAAGGAATATTCATAACCAGAGAATTTTCATACAGATGCATATACATGAAGATAGATATGGAGCTGCTTGTTTTACATAAAATTAACATACATTTAAGTGTAATATGAAGCAAACTTCTAATAAGTGTTTAAGCTACGACTACTACTCCATAATTTTCAAAAAGCATCAAAATCAATAAGGTAATGAGATAAAAGCATTATGAGATGTATGCTGCTAAAACTAGTTTTACATGTGCATGTTAACATACATGGCTACGTACACACATACTTGCAAGGAGATTTGTCTAGCACAGCAAAACAATTACTTTAGCAACGTGAGCCTCTTCCATGTCTGATTACATCACTGAGTATCTAAATGTCACAAATTGGTTAATTCCAGCCTCTTGTCTTTTACTCCATTAAGGTAGAAATCCATCCCTGGTGTTTTCTGTTACCTGTCTACCATCTAAACCTTCTACCATGTGAACCTAACAATAGGAAGACAAGGAGGCAACCTGTCTATCCCTCTCCCCAAAACTCACTGAAGACCAGCACGGTAGTACAGCCCTACAAAGCAAATTATTACTAATCACCTAACTACACTGCCAAAGCATTACAGAAGCCAACTGACAATAGTATGCAAGGAAATATTTACAAAATTTTGCGAATGTCCTTGTGCATCTAGAAATACTAGATGTTTCTATAATGATGTATGTGCTTGTTATTTACAAAGTTGCCTTAAATGTGGTGCGCACTCCAATACAAAAAGGTTTGGTTATCCTTATAAAATGTATTTCCATGATTAAAATACATAATGCCCTATCATAATACAACTAGGAAATTATTACTGAGTTTTGTAATGTGTAACACAACCCCTAAACAATGGCTTAAATGGATCATTTTCTTTAAGATGAGAAATCAAATGTAAAGGTCCACTACCTTTTAGATTTTCCTTCCCCTAGCAACTCCACAAACAGGTGAGATATGTACAGCTCAAGAAACCCAACATTCTATCTCCGTTAACACATTCCAAGAAAATGTAACCATGAAACTTTACACTGAATTATTTACAAAATTATACTTTAAGAGACTCTATACATCTTAAAAACTAGGTGTTAAGAATTCAGAAGTGTATCTGCCTATTATTTACAAAGTTGTCTTGAATACTGTCATGCAACCAAGGGAACATACAGAACTGTGTATAGTTCCAAGAGGTAGTATAAAATCCACTTAACAAAGTCAATATCTTAATGTTTAAAAAAAATTACGGACAGAAGGATGAATAGGCAGAGACAGAGGATTTGAAGGCAATGGAAAGAGGCAGTACATCACTATGGATGTGTATGTATCACGAACATCAACTCACAACCACAGAATGTACACCACCTAGACTTAGCATTAATGTCAAATATAGAATTTTGGGTGATTGTTTCAATGTAGCTTTATCAATTTCAACAAATGTACCACTCTGGTGGGGAATATTAACAACAGGCACAATTGCCCATGTATTGGGTCGACAGTTGGGAGGACCGGGGGTGCGTGCGTGCGTGTGTACGCACATGAGGGTATATGGGAAATCTTTGTACCTTCCCTTCAATTTTGCTGTGAATTGAAAACTGCTTTTCCAGAGTGGGGTAAATGATTTATCTTGTCCATTTATCCTCTTAACCAAATTAATATATAAGTTGTTCATAGCTCTAGAGCCTATTTATCAATTATAAATTTTATTGCCATGTTATTATTGAAAGAAAGTGGTAACAAATTTACAATAAAATATTTACAGGATAATTTTAGAGATTATGTAAATGTTCCTTAAAAATGAGTTCCATCATGAACCTCAGTTCATCTGGGAAAAGAAGATATAACCACATGGCCCTTAAATCGAGGTATTTTTCTATAAAATGACACAATTTAATGATTACTAACTACTTTTACATCTAAATAAAAATGAGGTAAAAATACTTTCAAGACTGACTTATTTGCTTAGCATAATATTCTCAAGGTCCATCCATGTTGTTGGGTAGGGAGCAGAGAGGTAGTAAAAGGTTATGGGGGCCAAATACATGCTAACGGAGAGATGATTTGACACTGGGTGGTGGGCATACAATACAATATTCAGGTTATGTACCATAGAAATGAACCAAAAAAAGAGAAAGAAAACATCCACTACCCTTGTCCATAACCTTTAAAACAAACAAGTCACCATTCACAGAAAAACTCTACTTATACTAATAGTTTCTGATATTTAAAAGTACATCAGCAATGAACAGGCGTTTTAAAGATAAATACACAGTCTAAAGATCACAATGGGCAGGACTGGTGAACCATTTGATAAGCAAAACAAAAGCTCATGTGCTATAACTTCATGGGAAGTAGATTTTAAAGTATCTGAAATTTCTGTACATCTACATAGGCATATGGTATAAAAACAAAAATCTGATCAGATTAATCACCCCCGCTCACACTAAGTCACTTAGAATGGGAGGTGAAATAACACTTCTATTGGTAACACTTATTTTTATCCTAGTTCAACATCAATATATTTACTCTGTGTGTGCGTGTGTGTGTGCACGCGCGCATGCGCATGGAGAGAGTGTATTTCTACATACCTAGGAAGTTAAGATGTTGTAAGAAGCTTCTCTATTATACATACAGCAGTCAAACACTTCCCTGCTCGGTCCCAACATCTAACATTCAAAAACTAAATTGAAAGAAAAATTATACATGTTTACATTATTTAAAATATGAATGGCAATGATTTGTACACTTTAAAAAACAAAAACACAAAGGCAATCCCCCTCAACCAAATACATCCCAAATAGACATAGTATAGCAATACAAAATATATGCTTATCAAATCCTATGCAGATGTTTTATAACAAAATCATTTGTCCACTTTTTTTTTAACTAGCAGCGGGTCACAGTATCTTCCAGCAAGTTTCTATCCTATGACTTTTAATAAAGTTCTATACACCCCTATACACATATGTACATGTATATGTGTATATTTGTATACACATATAAATATGTAAACAATCCTTTATTTTTCAAGGACTAAAAGTTTAAAGCAAAAATTTATATAAAGTAAGTATAAGACATGCAAATAGTTGCTCCTATTGCTTTAACATAATGACCTTGTCTATTATATACATATAATACAAAAACATTCTTTTGTCAGCCCACATTAAATGAACTTGGGTTTGATATATATTCCATTGCTAACGTCCCACATAAAACATAAATCACCTATACAACTAGAAATAAGTACTTTAAAACAAGAACAATCCACTACTATCAAGTCCAATTCCACTAGCAAATGAAAACTTGTCTACCCAACACTATTTAACCAAATGTAGAGATTTCTGTAAGTTATGAAAAGAACTGTTCTATCTGTATATAAACATATCTGAAAACCGTAAACAAAGGCAGACCTACAGTTAGAATGACATTTCTTGCATGATGAATGGTGTCATAATACAGTGCACAATATAGTGTATATTCTACAGCTTATATGTAAACGAAACTTAAAAACGGAGAATAATGATCAAAATAACACAGAGGCGAAATCTAACATCTCTTTGGTAAACAAAAAATGCTTCTACCCTAGTAAGTTGATACATATTTATAATAAATTTACAATAATGTATATACATGTAAAAATTGCATGTTAAGCATTAAGAACATTGTTTATAACAAAATGTATCAAATAAATAAATGATGAAAGGCAATTTAAAAATGCTACTGGCAGAAGGAAACATTTACAGAATATATGCAGACTCCCAACATCTAAGCATGGAGTGAACCCATCCCTATGCTTGGTAAGATGGTGTAACAGTCCCTTTTCTATTGAAGAGCATTAACAAACAAAGCCTACTGAATTCTGCACACTTGTTATCAAGCATAGAGCAATATATACATCTTATCGTAAAGACCATTTACATCCAGAGAGCAGCCTTCATGTCTACGTAACAGCTGTACACACAACAATCCCTCTTCCCCCAAACCCCACAGCAATAACCCATTCAAATGGTTTTAAATGTACATCTTTCAGAGGTATTCTGACAGTTCTATTTTCATAATTATGTATTAAAATATTCTATAATACTTAACAATTACAATACATTAGGAAATGTAGCAAAGCAATGATATTTGGTTTTTTAATACACACTGATATTCACTGCCTTGCTACTTTCCTTTTCTGCTATCCCTGAGCACACAAACAATGAGTACAGAATTGTGTATAGCTTTACAAAACGTCCTCAGGATTCTTCTAAAATATTCTCCGGAAGACAATTTTACCAAATGTGTTATTAGAAACTTCCTTAGGAAACCAGCTCTATTATCACAGCAACCATTACAAAAGTATCTAAAAATAATAGATTTGTTTACAAATGTAGGCCTCTGTGCTTGTATTTATATTCCAAGAAAGTTTACGTAAACAAAGAAACAAGAAAATGAAAACATTACATGTTGAATTTCATTCTCTTCATCGCCTATCAATGAATAGTTCATACACATTCATCAGTCACTGAGTATTTTTATATTTACATTTTAATACCATTGTCCACACACAATGTCCGTAAATTGTTCAGTTTTATGTGTCCAATTAAGTAGTTACCAGGGTTAGATTTTAGGTGAAAATGCTACTGGGAGGAAAAGAAAGGAAGATCTCTGTGTATCTCGCATATATGCAAATGTCTTAGACACACAGCTTTCAACGGTAAACCTTCTGGAGGTGAGTTGATCTTCCATCACGAAAGAACCTTCTTTTCCAAATGCAATGGATTCCAAAGGGAAACATTTGAAAGGTAGGATGATGGTCGAAACAGTATAAATCTGTATTTCTTTTGTCTTTGATTATAGCTGGTAAAGCTTCTTGATCAATTCAAATGCGCTGTCCTTTCAGCATGAGGTTTAGATGCCCACAGCAGTCCATAATAAACTGTTCAGGATTCTCCAGAACTTGAAAACTACATTTTCATCAATGCAGGGCAGTCACTCGAGCTGTGATTCCCTGCTCATCTGTTGTTGATAGAAGAGGTTTTCAGAAAGCCTGTGCCTCATCCTGGGTGGCAATCACATTGTTTCGTGCTGTAGATTTCTAGAGATTCTTACAGGACCAGAGGGTGAAATGACTGGGGGAACATCCAAGATTTTTAAGGATCCAAATCTTCGGAGACTACAAATGGAAAATTTCCAGTTTTGAGAGTGGCAAAGATGCTCTTAATATGAGTTTATAAAATCTTTCCCCTCTTCTGATTATTGCTTATTTCTAACACTGTTGGAACATGATGTGGTTCTTCATTTGTGAAGACTTGTCCGGCAGAGAGATGAATTAGAGAATCTGAAGACAGAAGTAAGGCGACGGTTTGAAGTTTTAGCAGTTAAAAGATGTCAACCTGCCAACCTGCAAGGTAGCTGTAAAGCAGCATCTAATGGAGTCGGAATTGTATCCTCCAGGCTATACACGTTTTAACTTTTGGCAAGAAACCCTCGTCCATTGTTCGACTCCATCCATGTCCATCAATGGCAGCCGATTCTCTTCCTCCCAGTCGGCATCACCTTTTAACATTTCCGTAAAATTCAAAGATATCATGCAATGATTTCGAAGTGATGTTTATAGATGACATTGAGATATTTCACGTTCCATTGCCAGTATCTTCTTTTAGTGATCTGAGTATGTTTTTGTCATTTAAAAAACTTTTCCAAGTCTCTTTTTTTACAGAAAGTTTGTATGTTTATGTACACTACAAAAACCAACCTAAATAATGATAGGTGTATTTACATATTTTTATGTGGCCAAGTATTCGGTTACCCACTAATAAGTAAACAGTCGTATACTCTCAATAATAATGAACTCTTGGCCTCTAAGAGATGTGCACAAGAGATTCTCCAAAGGAACACATGCTTGTTGTTTTAACATGGAAGATTTATTCTTTAGTGAGCTAGACTGGAACAGTTGTATGCATACAATGAGAGGTTACTTTAAGCAACCCCCTTTTCCCTTTCCACCAAAGCCCCAAATTGAAATATGGTACTCCCGTGGAAGATTCACTCTGCCTGATGGAATGGCAAGTTGAATTTAAGATAGTATGACCCAACATTAGAAAAGTAAATCTATGCCTTCTTGTATTTTAGGACCGTAATTCACTTAGTCTATCTAAAATTCAAAGCCATGGCATCCAGTCATGCTCACTAGAGAGTTACACATTATGCAATTAGAAAAATATAATGACCGAATTTTTCTGCCATCCTACAAAAATAAGAAAATCAGTATCACTGCAGTAACTCATTCTTATAGCAATCATAAATCAGTTTTTTAAAATCCTGTGTGATTTGTCCAAAACACAGAAAAGAGGTCTCCTGTTTCAAGGTTGTGTTCCTTCGTAAGTCACAACTTAACTCCTCCATGAATTCAATGACAGTCCAACCATAGAAGGCTCCTTGTTTCAAGTTGGAGTCCCTTCATTAGTCAGAATTTTTAAAACCTCCTCCATGATGTCTCATTTTATTGAGTCCAACCATAGAAAAGAGATCTCCTTGTTTCAAACTGGAGTTCCTTCGTAAGTCACAGTATCTTAAAAAGTCCATGATTTCTCATTTTTTATTCGGTCGAAGCCATAGAACGAGGTCTCTTTGTTTTTCAAGTCTGGGTTCCTTCTTCAGTTGCTGTAGTGCCTCTAACTTGCCCTCTATACTCCTCAGCACTCCCGAATACGGAGCCCAACTGGCGCGGCTGAATGTCAAAGTTGGCCGGTAACACTGGACAGTCCATTGTAACACTATTCCCATATAGAAGCCTATTTACAAACTAGCACTCCATTTCAATACCAGATATATTGCCACCAGGGTATTTACAGCCAAGCTATAACATATATATTGAAATTTCCCCAGAAAATAGCATAACCCACAAATTCATTGGTATTGTCAGTTTATGGCCCATTTTAAATGATCCAGAAGTGGATGCTTACAATACAACAAACATGCCTAAATGCAAAGTAACTAAAGTTGTGCACGGTTCAGTGACCAACATAGAGTACAAACTGGGTCTAGGAAATCAACACACTACTGAGATCACATCTACTCTTTAAAAGTGGTTTAGAAACATGTTTCCTGGAAATTTCAACTTACTGGTCAGTTTTATCCAAATTGAACTAAGTGAAAATTTAGGCAATAGTTGATTATTAGAAGAATTTTAAAAAAATATACTGGCTTCCCCAAATGAGGTATACATCATTTAAATATATTGCCAATTAGTTCTGATAAGGTATATGGATTCATATTCTCACATTTTCAGCATCTGGCACCCTACCCAACTGATTCTTTTGGTTATATTACAAGAAAAAAAATTTGGCATTTGGCATTCACAAAACTCCCTGGTCACGTTCACTTTAATATATTCTATAACGTAATTCATTATCCTGAATCAAACCCAGTTGTTCTCTATGTGTGGTGCCTAAACCAAAGCATCTGTCAACTTCTCAGACCCAGAGGTACTGAATCAGAAACTGACAAAGTGTACAAGCCCGCAGGCTGATTCTCATGTGCACTAAAGTTGGAGACAAGTTTGGTTTCATCTCAGCTGCCTATGAATGTAAACCACTTTGCCCACTCTCATCACCCAGCAAGAACAGTCACCCATCCACTCATCTTCGTTTCAAAGATGCACTACCTATGTAGAGGCCTCAGGAAAGGACAGAGCCTAGCATGTCCAAGCTGGCTGAGACAAAGGCCCTATGGTTACACATACAGTGACAGGTAGATGGTATGTCTAAATCCTAACCCCCCCAGCTGTTCTGATAAAATCCCTCTAAACCTCCCTTTTCCCTCTTGTCCTGTGTCCCCCACCATTGCACTCACCATCTCAGTCATTCCCCCCATTCCCACTGTTTTCAAACTGATTCATAAAAGGAGTTGTGTTGGATCTCAGACTCCCTTTGCAGGAAGGAAAGCTGTCATCAGGTTCAAGAACAGTGAGTTTCATCAATCAACCCTCCCCACCCAAGAAACAAGCACCTGATCATCTTTTCAAGGGATTCTACGTGCAGGTTATTTTCTGTAGGTCACCTCCCCCAAGAATGGGCTAATATGGATGGTGCTGCTCAGCCAGAAACTACCAGTGTCCTTTCTCTAGCAGTAAGTGACCGCTCTTGCCTCACCAATGTCCAAGGTCAAATCACCCCACTCACTCCTTCCCTCTCACTCTACTGGATGTTCCTAATGCAATTCAGTTAGTACAAAGGGCAGCGAACTTCTCTCAATTGATTAAGAGAAACCAAACAAGTCTCTGAGGTAGTAAATATAAAAATAAAAAAAAATTCTGGCAGGAAAACAGGGACTAAATAAGGTCAAGAAATGTGAAAATACTTGTCTAACTTTACAAAGAATGTAATTCAGCGGAACCCCAACAGCTTTTTGCTATAAGCTGTTCACTCGCCACAGTATCAACATCCACACCATATTTACAGACACACACACACATCAACAAATTAAGGTGACTATTTAAGGATAAGGTCTTAATACATTCAACTGTCCATGGTTAACTTTTTATACAGGTTTTTTCTAAATACCTGTTTAATTACTATTCAATCCCCTCACAAGACTACTATAGCAAAGCACAAGAACCTAATCATAGGATGGTAGTCACAGATGATAAAAGATTCATTATTCCTACAGGTGAAGAGATACTAAATGAGTGAGCTTAGACCCCTTTTAACAAAATGCATGGTTGGCAGAACCAGTCCTCTCTCCAAACACTCAGACCCATCAACTGCAAAATGCCAGTTTACCCCCTTGCATCACAGCCAAACATTCTGAATCTCATCTATGTCTTGCCAACATACAGAAGGTGGTAAAACTTAGAAAGAGTGCTCCCTCTGAATGTAAGTTTAAAAAAATGTCATCTCATCTTAGACCAAAGCAATGTCTCAAACTGGCAATTTCCTGCTTGAGTGTTAACTGGAGCTGCCTCATAGGTTGGGGATGTGGTCTCAGTGAACTCTGGTCCAAAGCTGAAATTGAGTGATGCTCTAATGAAAGAAAAAGCCATGGTAGCTCCCAAGTCCTGACTCTCTTGAAGGTATTACATGAAACGCACAATGACAAACTCAACCCTCCACTTCACTGGGTGACCTGCAGCTCCATTCTCCCTGACCTGCACAATATTGATGAGGCAACCTTGTGAAATGTACAGCCTACAAACGGATGTTGAAAAATGTGCGGCCCACGTGCTTGGACTGACACTTTGGCTGGACTTCAGAGTATTCAGTTGACCTTCACGTCATTGTGCTCAGGAAACATAGCTCATCATAAGTCAAGCCCAGGTCTTACCAACAACAAGTGCACCTTTGCTAAGTGACTAATGCCTGCAGACTGTACATTTCTACTAAAGGAAAGGCCCTTGGCTTAGAATGATTGATCCGACTGATCATCTTTGGCAGCTATATCACGGAACTGACACAGAATTAAGGTGGAAATCTTGGGGGTAAAATCAAAGACAGTGAAACATCGAACCCCCTGCCAGAGTAACACTGAGATAGAGCTTTGCTATCTTACAAGAAAATATACCTCAGAATCCACTTCCCTAAGCGAACTGTCCATGAATTGAAAACTGAAATGTCCATTGTCACTACAGACGGATGTTAATCATGATGATGTAACAAGTTCCTATTTTCCACTCCCTCACTATGATCCAACTTTACAGCCTAGGTTACTATGAAAACCACCACCAAAATATTCCAAAGTGTAAAAATAAAAAAAAAAATCAATATGGAAGGATCAATGCAAATGACCAAATGAAATTAAGGCAGATGAGAGATGCAGGGAAGGCCAAGAGGTCTATGGATCTGCGCTTCAGGACTCTGAAGGGGGTCTAAGCCAAGTTCTCACATCTGAGGTTTAAGGAACCAAAGCACTATGGTAATATAATCAATGTCACCATCAAGTGAGAAGAGCATAAGTTACTTTCCTGAAGTCTCCTAATGGTCAAGAAATTACTATCCAAGTGGATTCCAGAGCTACAAAGATGCTTCTGAATGAAAGAGGAGCCATGGGAACAGGTTCTTCTGGGCTACATCCCTGCCACCAGGACGCTGGGGCCACGTGGGAACACCTATGTCCTTTTAGTGCAAGAAAAATGTCACTCTAGGTTTCATCATCTACAACTTGAAAAGTTAATTGAAGCCCACCCCCAGATATCCCTACACAGATTTCCTAGACGCTGTTGGCAGGGCCGGACTCGCTGAGGCCATTCACCCACACTTGCTTCTACAATGATTGTCCTTGGAATCTGGTGTCAAATACTGCTCCTTCTGCTAGGCTTTCATGGTCTTGCTAAGCAAGAAAAGTCTCCTCACCCAGTCATCTCTAACAGTACTTTTGGTTTCCCCTTTTTGACCTACAAAGGCTAAATTGTGTCCCCTACAAATGCACTGTCACTAAGAGAAGTCCTAGTCTTGGCAGACACGGAACAGTTTGGCCCCCGTCTATGAACAGTTGGAAATCGCGTAGGCCTTGCTTGTAACCACAGGTATTCCACTGTATCTTACTGTAAAGTATTACCTTGTAGTCTAACATTGAAATATCACTAACACTGCCATATTTGTGAAACATTTACTGTGTCAAGGCACCATACCCCCATTGATCTAGCAAAGTGATTTTCAACTATTTTCACATAATTGCGTCTAAAGCAATCACTAAAATTCTTGGGCACACCAAAACTTTTTTTGCTAATCTGATGGAAAAAAAACAAAAAAACAAAAAAAAA